CGGAGACAGGAAACCCCCGCATCCAGAAACGCACAGTCGGAGCGCCATCCTGAAAAGGACGTGCTGCACGACTGTGTTGCTCTTTTAGGAAAGTTGCAACTATACGCACCGCTCCGGAGGACCGGACCCAAAGAACCGCAGGCAAGGGAGAAACCCAGCTCGACCGTCTGCCACCGCGAAGACCCACTCTGGACCGGGAGACACACTCGTTCGCTCTGAAGTGCTGATCAGCAAGAGGAACCCTCATCGACTCACTCAGAAAGGATCTGAAGCGAAAAGGATGGCGTCTGCTGGCTTCAGGTGTGCTTATATGCTGAGATAATTGCAGATGTCGCACACCTGCGCAAGCTTACGCTGCCAATTAATTTCATTCATTGGCCCGTTCAATACTCTCCAGATAAGCGGCTTCTGATCCGAATCCTCCCATTCATGGCACTGAAGTTCCCCAACCGAAGGGGAACTTTAAGACCTCAGTCACCTGCTTGGAATGTAATTACTCGATTGAATAGGTGTTATCAATGGTAATCAGCTTATAGAGTACTGGGCCAGTACCTCAGAATGCTGTTTTCGTCTATCCACATGGTTAATCAGTTATACTAATAGATAAGCCTGCAAATCCATATCTGTTATCACCTGTTATAATCCATCCACATGGTTAAACAGCTATACTAATAGAGAAGACTCCAGATCCAAGTCTGTTTTTACATTACTATGATGTTTTGAGTTTAGGGTAGGGGTAGGGTTAGGGGTAGACCTTAATAAAATACATTTTATTAATCTGGGGTCACCACAGTGGAATGCACAGCCAATTTATTCTGCATGTTTTTTTATGCAGCGGATGCCCTTCCAGCTGCAACCAATCTCTGGGAAACATCCATACACATTCATTCACACTCATTTACTACGGACAATTTAGCGTACCCAATTCACCTGTACCGCATGTCTTTGGACTGTGGGGGAAACCGGAGCAGCCGGAGGATACCCACACGAACGCAGGGAGAACATGCAAACTCCACACAGAAATGCCAACTGACCCAGCCGAGGCTCGAACCAGCGATCTTCTTGCTGTGTGATGACAGCACTACCTACTGCACCACTGCATCGCCTTAATAAAATACAATTAATGGTAAATTTTATAAAAAAAAAAAAAAAAAAACAATTCTTGTTAACTTGATCTACAGCTGATTAACCATGTGGATTGATGATAACAGCTTTCTGCACCTACTAGTAGTACTGGCCCATATCTATAAGCTGATAATCACTGATAACGCCCATTCAATCGAGTGATAACATTCGAATTGGCTGCCTCAGTTGCCATATTTGTCAGATTTGAATGATAATTATGTATTAGCAAAAACAGACACACAAAAGGATCATCTGAAGTTTAACATCATCAATCTTTGACATGTTAAGTAACCTGCGTTATAAAATTTTCAACCCTCATAGCAAAAATATAAAATCTGTAGCTTTGATTTTACTCATACAGTACTATGCCCTGAGGTTAATCCATAAAGAAAATTTGACGTTTCCCTGCAGGAGTTAGAAGTTGTCTGACTTATGAGATTCAGCGCTACATTTGGTTCTTGGTTTGATGCTCGTCATAGAAAAATCCAACCACAGGAAAGTGTTTGAAATCTTCTGACACTACCAGAATTTCATTGTAGAGAAAATATGATAGCAATGGCCATTAATTAGCTGACGTCAAACCTATCAAACCTGTGATCAAAGACCATAGATTATAGGAATCTTTTAGGAATATCAAAATTTGTCTCAGAAAACTAAATCATGGTCCAAACCACCATGTGAGCTGGGCTTAACATGCTGATTAAAGTTTAGATCGGTCCCAAAAAATTTAACCTGACCCTATACCCGAGCCCGTGCACCTTGTGTTCAAGCCTGACCAGGTCCAACACATTAACTAATTATGAACCCGATTTAAACTCAACTATTTTTTAATATGTGGGCCATTAGAACAGACATTCTCAACTACGATTCTGTGTTGTTTGAATTACAGAAATGAGTTGACATTTATCTTAATGAATAATGCAACAAGAATGAAGCATGTAAACAACATTGTTTATTTATTCAGAATGAATCATAACAAAAAAGGACATTGAAGGCTGACTATCATTCTATATGCCCTGGCAAGCCTGCTTTATGTGTCTGTTTATTGTGAAAATCCCTGTTTGTTTGTTTTTTTTGCTAGCACCTCTTTCACACCGCATGTGCGAGCAGAGCATGAGCAACATGTTTGTTTTTTTGGCGTCTATGTTAACAGATTATAGCTTTCATACAGCATGCAGAAGCAGCAGTGAAATTATCAATTCTGCGCTGGGTCTATTTTTGCTGCTGCTCAAGTGCAATTAAATTGACAGTGCATTGATAATGACCAAAAACACATTGAACTACAGTAGAAAGTAGCAATTTTACCCAATAAATGCATTTACAACATCCACAGATTTTTATGCACTGTTTCTGCTTTACAGTATATATGCGCTGCTTCAACTCTGCTTGTGTGAATGTGTGTCAGACGGAGGAAAGGCTGTTGCAGGAGCTAGAGTGTTGCTGCGCATGACACGCAATGCAATTTGTGCAACTTTGTAGACCCACACATGTGTTGCTTAGGCCAATTTTGCTAAAATATTCATATAATATTTCTAATTATGGCAAAGCTTTCCACCTAATTAGGCTAATTAAGTAACCAGGTAGCAAAGAATTCTGGTCCAGATTTGCCATAGTGCTGGTACAGCAGGCATTCTTCCGGCCCTGGCATACAGCATGTGGGCCAAACATGGCCTGGGTTTGGCAGAGGTGGCACCGTCTTTAAGGCGGCACACAATATTTGGGCCAGATTTAAAGGCTGCATTTACACTGCACTGTCCAAGTAACTCAATTCCAATTTTTTTCTCCCATGTGGCACATATCGGATATGGCCCATGTACGTGTAAGCAACAACAATCACACGGATTCCGATTTACTCAAATCAGACTCAGGCCTTGTTCATATGTGGAAATTTATCTGATTTGAATCAGATCTTTGTTCTCGTGTCTGCAGAGTAAGCAGGTAGATCGGATTTTCACCTGTCAATGCGAGTCGCGTGTCATTAAAAACCATAGTGAATGACATCAAGCCTGACACTTTCATTTTTCAGAACAGACTTCAGAGTCCCAAACCTTAAATCTCAAAAACAGTTTTTTTATTGTCAAATAGCACAGGTATTTAAGCATATTAATGAGAGTGAGAGAGCGCAATGTCCACCACGTAACCAATAAACTAATATAAAACTAGTGCATATACATCACGTGCATAAATCACGCCATAGACATTACATTAAGATGCCTAAAAGTTAAAAAAAAAAGTCTATATATGAAGGGAAGAGGGACAAATGAGAACCGCTCTGTCATAAACTATAGTAAAACAGCTTGTCAAAAGCTGCAAACCGATTACATACAGGAATAGAGAAAAGAGCACTCTTTAATTATCAGCTGTTAGTCAGCGCCCGCTCTTTTTTTTTTCCTGGTAATTGCGCCTTTGCCATGTGCAGTGCAAATGCAGACAATCGAATAAGAGTCACTTTTAAAAGATGATGTAAGCAGGTCATAAAAAAAAATCGGATACAGTCACAAAATCGGAATTGACCACCAATATCTGCAGTGTAAATGCAGCCAAAATTTAGTCTTTGCCCAGATGTTAAAATTTGATATGTGAGCCATGTAAATTTGGCCTGTCATGACCCACAATTAAAATACATTACAATTATTTTTGAGTAAAGAAAAAAAAGCCTATAGTGTGCCTAGCGCAATGCTTCATGGGTTTATCAATTTTATAGCAATCGTGACACACCAACCCAGTTAACTTGGCTGAGACTTGACCCAGACGTGGTCCATGTTTGGTCCTTGTCTGAAAGCCAGATTAGGTCCAGTCATGTACCATAATTCATTGTATCATGTTGGCCAAGCAAAATCTGATTGTGTTTGCCAGAGCAGGGCCAGAGAAATTTTGCTAAGTGGGTAATGACTAACAAAAACAAAACACGAATGCTTGATCATTGCCGGGCCTGGCCCAGCCCGGCCAGAAAAAAAGTGGGAGGAAATATCTGCTGCCATGGCCCACAAGTCAGGTCAGGTAAAGGCTGGGCTTGGCAGATAATCTAAACTCTAATTTAGATAGAGAAGTTTTGTCTGATGAAAAACATGATGGCAACAATCAGATGCATCAGATAACAGAAGGTGGACATTTTAAACAGTTGACATATGTAGCTTAATTCTGTAGCAAAACATTGGATCAATCACATTTTGATGATGCATTAAGCCAAAGTCTCTAGAATACACAAGACACCTCACTCTTATACTTTTGAATGGGGAAAAGTGTAACAGTCAATATGGCAAATGAAGCCCCGCCTTTTAGTACAGGACCTAATGAGCGATCGCTATATGGAGAATAAAGCCCGCCTGCTAGTACAGGAGCCAATCAGCGATCAATATAGAATGATAATTCTTTGGAGGAGGGGCTCAAACCAGATATGAGTTTATGCAGATTTTGTGTAATATACATTCAGAAATGTAACTTTTATTGGTTATTCATAATCTGGTATTTAATCGTAAGCTTGGCAAGCAGTTTTGGAGAATTTGATGTTTCCCCATTCAAACAGAATGCCCGGGCATATTGCCCGACAAGCGTTTCAAAGATGGCTGCCGAGTGAAATGACTTGCCTTAAAGAGACTTTGATTAAGATAACATGCTAGCTCTCCATTCCACATCTGCTACCAGGTTGTGAATGGTTTATGGGTATTATTAAAAGGCAAATGTGAGATTTCTGATCACAGATATTAGTTATCAAATTTTACAAATGGAAAGGTTGGCCAATACAATGGTGAACCTTTAATAGAGACAGACAATGTCAAACCAGACAAAACAAAGACAGTGAGAGACAGAAGGAAGGCAGCAATTAGGACATATTAAGGGCAGACAGACGGCAGCCACCACTGACAAGTCCCTACCTCATTGGGACATTTGATTCGGCCCATCTGTTTGAGGATGCAGTGTAGCCTCTCTCTCTCCTCCTGCTCCTCCCCAGACACATTCTCACTTGCCGAGGGCTGAGAAATGGGAAACAAATACAATGCAACACATTAGTGTCTCTTCAGAAACTCTTCCTCAAGACTTTACAACAATGTGCTCCAAATCACTGCTTTCTGAAAGCCAGATGCCCGGCACTCTTCAAAACCTTTATAGAGGGGCCATTACTCAAGGGTGTAAACGGCAACTGTCAGACTGCAATATGCTTTTTACAACACTGTATTTGGCCTGTTAAAAACATCAGCAGAGGAAGTTACACATGAGAGACCTTAACACACTGCCTGAGGCTGAACGCTCAGACTGAAAAACCGTTCTGTCCTGAAAAAAATTTTACACGTATATTGTTAAACCAAAACATGTCAATCCTAATACCCAGAGGCATGTAGAGCTAATAATCATCTCACTATTTTACCCTGTAGGGTTGGATGTGATGGGAACCTGGATTTGAGATGTCGTGGGGAAAAACTACCAACCATACAGGGACGTGTTTCCCAAATGACATAACTTGCGACTGAACTATCGTAGTCCGACGCATTGTTTTGGAAAAGAACGATTTAGTGACAAATGATGAGTGTTTCTCAAATCCGTAGTTGCTCTGTTGCAGATCCATCGTTTAAACCATGTTAGTTATAACCAGGGCTTGACATTAACTTTTTTGATCACCAGCCACTGTGGCTAGTAGTTTTCCACTGGTACTAGCCACTCGCCATTTCCGACAGCCACAATTTTGTTGTTGGGAAAATATATTTTATGCATAAGTTTGACTTAGGCATGAGTTGCAAAATGCTAAAATTAGTGAGCATGAGCAAATGGGTTATGCTTTTATAAAAAAAAGTGTAGCATTGCAGTTAGTTTTCATTCACAGGAATTTTCAGGGCTCAACACAATAAGGATTTACCTTTTTTTTTTTTCTCTGGCCACACTAATCTAATTATTTCCTTGCCACTAATTTTAAATAATGTGTCAAAACAAGCAAAAAACTGCTGTATACATACACTTTTTATTCATCAAAACAGCTGACATTTAAAAAACATATATTCTCACTAGGGATGTAACGGTATCAGAATTTCACGGTACGGTAATACCTCGGTATGAATGTCACGGTACGGTATTTATTGAATCATTTACAGGAAAAAAAAACTTTTGAAAATACTCCAAAAAAGTGCCAAAAGTGTCAATGACATACAAATTAGCCATCTATCTGTTAGCTTTGAAACAGGAACTTCAATTTTAATAACAAAAAATTATTAAACCATGTAAAAAAATAAAGTTTCAATTTAGTATTGTTGAAAACTCATCACATTTAACATTTAATCACTCACTTAGATAGAGATGGGTTTAAAGGAAAATTATCATATAACTATAATCTGGTAAAAGCTGGGATCTCTGGGTATTTACAATGTCCCCTGCAACAGAAAAAACCCCTCTCATTTGGGACTGAGGTTTCTGGGACAAGAGAGATATGACTTGGTCCATGTTGACAGCAGTGGGTAACGTTGTGCATTGTCTTTCCCCCACTTGAGAAGACAAACCATGAGTGAGATAGAGATCTCTTTGCGGTACAAGTCAATGTCTGCATCAATCTGAACAGTGTGCTGTGTTTCTGCAGTCCCCATGACTGTTATTAGTCGTATTCCCCAATTTGCAGGCACGTGCACACATAGGGCTCAACCTGTGCAGTGCACATGCCCTTTTTAGTCTTGGATAGAAAATGCCCTTCCAAAACGATCAAAAGTGCCCCCGCGACGCGACACAACCTCCGTCCAGTCCAGCCCTTCAGTAGGCGCGCGACAACACCTCTCTTGAATATGCGCGCTCAACCCCCCCCCTCGGCGCTTTACAATACGCGCGCCACAACACAGCTGATCAGAACGCGCGCGACAGCACCGCTATTCAGCACGCGCGCGGCGACAACACCCGCTTTAGGTTCGATCATTTCCATCTTTTTTTCATCTCCGCTACTAGCAGCACACTCCATTTCCGCATTACTGGATCTGTAGCGACAACAGACCGCAAAGGATTATGGCCACGCCGGGGCTGATGGGAAATGAAGTTTCAGCTAGCTCCCGTTCGCTTCATTCGCCTGAGCAAATTTTCTCAGAAGACCTATAGTTTTACCGAGTCATGCGACTTCGGTAATATCGAAAAAATTTAATATTGCGGTATGACGGTATTTACAATACCGTTACATCCCTAATTCTCACGCATCTGAAACTATGTACAGTGATCTGTTCTGGCTCAAGATTCCAGATCACCAGTTAACTATGCATGCAACAACATATTAAAGCCATATTATTGTAAAGGATGATTAATAAACTATATTAACAAATATAAAAGCAAGCAAAAGAAAGCAGGTAAAAAACATTCTGTGCGCGATAATGAAAGGATGTTGTCATGCAAAAGGTTAATGTTATAGTTAATAATCTGTTCAATGAATGGTTAAAGCGAAAGCGACAACCACTGCTGCTGCTTACAAAGAATCTTGAGCCCTTGAAGGACTGTGGGTGCACGAGCATCCCACTAGTTTCATTTCCATGCATGGTTTCCTCTAGTGAGGAAACGGCACAGGAGCTTTTAATCACTCTAGCCCCTTTAGGCACTAAAGCATTCATGAGTGAGGAAGGCCTGTCTCATCGTGCTCATGATCCTCCCATTCGTTATTCACCTGCTTTCTTTTGCTTGCGTGAAAACTGTTGTGCTGCTTCTCGATTCTAAGATCACATTTGTACACATATAGACAAATGGTCTTAAACTAACACTCTAATCTAGTGACGATGAGCCAGCACTGGCACTTTAAAAATGAGTTTCAGCCAGCCAAAATAGCTAGTGGAGTGTCTGTCTAACCTGCGGGTGTTAATGTAAAGCCCTGGTTATAACTTAAAATGTTTGTATTGATGCTCTAAATAGGGTGGAGTAATAACTTCTTTAGAGAAAAATGCCATAACTTCTGTGCAAATTATATTGTTTTACATGCACACACGTTTAAAAAAAAATCCAATATTAGTTTTGGTAAAAACATGCACTTGTTTTCTATATTAATTGAAATGTATGTAAACACATATTGGACCTATATTTGTTTCCTTTACAAATATTATTCAGAATATTCCATTTAAAATCACTAAGCTAACATCTATCTATTCTAATCTCATACAGTATGTAAATTATATAAATTGTTAATGGTTGTAGGCCTAATTTACAGTAGGCTATTTATTAAGAAATGAAAAAAAAAATCATACTTAATTCTAATATTACTAATGATGCTGCTACTACTACTACTACTACTACTACTACTAATAATAATAATAATAATTATTATTATTATTAATATTATTATTATTATTATTAGGTCAGGACATTATGGTGGCACAGTGTGTAGCACAATCGCCTCACAGCAAGAATGTCACTGCTTTGAGCCTTGGTTGTGTCAGTTGGTGTTTGGATGTTCTCCCTGTGTTGGCATGGGTTTCCTCCGGGTGCTCTGGTTTCCCCGACAGTCCAAAGACTATAGGTGAATATAGGTGCTATAGGTGAATTAAATAAGCTAAATTGGCCATAGTGAATCATTAGGTAATCATTATTTATTTATTTAAGTTTTTTGAAAAGTCTACGTTTATAATTTGACACATTCTGCAGAAATGTTCTAACCAATTGGTCCATGTAATATACAGTACAGACACAGTACTTAATAAATAACCTACTACAACGTATGTTATGTATTTTTGTTTTCACAAACTTTGGAGACATAACATCAATTCCGCTTTTAAATATTAGGTCACATTTAGCTTTCGTCATGAGCCACGGCTGTGTTCAAAATGGCATAAATGATTTCAAAGTGCACCACAAAATGAACGCAATTGTCAATATCAAGATTGCTAAAACTGAACTGTAAAAATCATTCAATGTTTAAATGTTAGACTGTTCCAAATGAAACGTGAGCAAAAAGCATCCCGGTGTGCACAGGCTTAAGAGATGAAAACACCTACAGTATGACAACTTGTAGTGCTCCATAGCATAGGTTGAGAAAAGAACACAAAGCCACACATAAAGGGAACAGATAGATTACATTTACATTTACATTTAGTCATTTAGCAGACGCTTTTATCCAAAGCGACTTACAAATGAGGACAAGGAAGCAATTTACACAATTAAGAGCAACAATGAATAAGTGCTATAGGCAAGTTTCAGGTCTGTAAAGTCTAAGAAGGGAAGTATTAGTAGTATTAGAGGTTTTTTTTTTTTTTTGGGTACAGTTAGTGTGATATTCAGAGAGGCAATTGCAGATTAGGAAGTGAAGTGGAGACTAAATAGTTGAGTTTTTAGTCGTTTCTTGAAAATAACTAGTGACTCTGCTGTTCTGATGCAGTTAGGGAGTTCATTCCACCAACTGGGCAGATTGAGCGTGAGCGTTCGCGAAAGTGATTTCTTCCCTCTTTGTGATGGAACCACGAGGCGACGTTCATTCACAGAACGCAAGTTTCTGGAGGGCACATAGATCTGCAGAAGTGAGAGCAGATAAGAAGGAGCAAGGCCAGAAGTCACTTTATTGGCAAACATCAGAGCTTTGAATTTGATGCGACTAGCAACTGGCAGCCAGTGCAAACGGACTAGCAGCGGAGTGACATGTGCTCGTTTAGGTTCATTGAAGACTAGCATTGAAGATTAGCTTTTGTCTGGTCTTATCTTGGACCACTTTAAAATATTGTAAAGATGATTTGTGTGGCATGTGTTCGGCCAGTCAGCATCCACTTAAATCTCTGTTACTTGCAGTTCCTATTGTTCTGTTTTACAAACAACATTGAAGGAGCTAATTTAGTTTCCCCAAAAGAAATTCCTGTAATAAAAATTGTTCACTGTTCCTGCAGTGCAAACACGCCAAAATTGTGTATTTCCGCTTATTGTTCTAGGAACTATAAAAACATTCCTTCAGTGCTAAAGGCATCGATGACATGGGCTGAATCTGAAAAGCTTATGCAGCTGACTTGTTTCCTCGCTACTCTGGCAGTCAGGCAGTGACTCTAAA